TGTTCATTTGTACCCTTTATAATAAAGGGGTGAACATAAGTAAAATGTTTCCCTGAGTTCTGTGAGCTATTATAGCAAATTATCAAACCTGAGGAGGGGAATGTGGGAATTCCCAATTTGTAGCCAAGTCAGACAGAAGCGTGGGTACTCTAGGCACCCAATACTTGTGACTGGCGTCTGAAGTGGGGACAGTCTTGTGGGACCTAGCCCTTAACCTGTGGGGTCTGTGCCAACTTGGGATAGTTAGAGTCAGAATTGAACTCAATTGTAGGACACCCAGTTGAAGTCCGCAAAGAATTGGATAATTTCTTGGTGTGAAAAAAACCATGCATTTGATGTAAGAAGTGTTAGTAGAGGAACAGTTTTCCTTTATTGGCATATCTTTTTTTTTGGTTTCCCGGAGCCTCATTATTATCTCTGAATTCTTTGTTTTTAAATCAAAGCTTCAAAGACAAGTGGGATTATTGAGTCTTTATTGATTGGTTTGAACCTTTAATGAGGCCCTGTAACCTGTTTTCCAGCTTATAGGCGTCATAGAACAACTTTTTATTACTAAAACGTGGGTTTGTTTTATTGAAATTAGTAGTTTAGTACACTTGAAAGAGCATTACACTGGGAATCAGAATTTGGATGTAGTCTTGATTTTGTGTAATCTCAGGCAGATTATTTTACCCCTCTTCACTCAGGGATTCTCCTGCGGGGACAGGGTGGGAATATATAAAAGTGAACCAGCTTTTTAAAAATGCGTTTACCCCTTCCTGTCTCCCCCACCAACAATGTAATTCTACATCCTCTCCCACCTCCAGCCCCATCATTGTCAGGAGTGAGCCGTTGTGTATGTTATAACCTTCAGGTGTGTTGGGGTTGAAACAGGTTGAGCACTATTGAACTCAAAGCTCTTTTCTAGCTCTGAGATTCTTACGGAAAGGTCTTCAAACCTGAGACCAGTGTAAAAGTTGCAGGTATTAACTTCTCAGCATACCAGATAGGGGGAGAAAGTCACCTGGTATTCTAAAAGGCATAGAGATATCAATATACGAGAACAGATGTCCCTCAATTTATGAAGGGGCTATGTCCCAATAAATATATCATAAGGTGAAAGTATCGTAAGTTGAAATGCATGTAATATTCTGATAAATCCATTGTAAAGTCAAAAAATCATAAGTTGGGGACCATCTGTATGTGGTTTCTTAACTACTGGTCAAGAATTACTATGTCTTAGTCCCTTTTTATCAGACAGCACTATGATTCGCAGGCACTCCCCAGTGCAGTACAAATTCCAGCCTTCCTCTCCTGCAGTGAACACAATATTGTTGTTAACACAAGAGAACTTGTCATAGTTAACAAAACTGCATACTCCATGAAGACAAAGGCTAGGTCTGATTCTGTTCACCATTGTACCACCAGCACTAACAACAGTACCTGGTTCATAGTAGCCATTCAATAAATGTCCAATGGGTGATTAAATAAACTAATGAATTTGGGGAGAATAAGGACCTGCAGCCAAAAAGCTGTTCTGTTGACTCCAGCATACTCTAGTTGCTAAGTGCAGAAACAGATGAGAAAAGTTCCTGGAAATCCTTTTGGGTGGTAAGAATGAGTGGTTAAGAAGCCCAAGAATTTGGTTGGGACCACCCACTTAAATTTTAACTACTTATGGCAAAATAAATCAGTTAGTACCTGTCTGAATGAGAATTATGCTGCAATAATTTGGTCAAAGCTTAACTATTCAGAATATTTTCTGATCCAATGATGAGTAAGCAGAAAAACAACCATCTTGTTCCCTTATTGGAAAGCAGTTTAGGATATAAGTCCATTTTTCTGCCCAAGTGAGATTTGGTGAACAGAATTTTATTTTATTTTATTTTATTTTTGGCAGCTGGCCAGTATGGTAAACCAAACCCTTGACCTTGTTGCTACAAGACTGTGCTGTAATAACTGAGCTAACAGGCCAGCCCCGGTGAACAGAATTTTGTTATAATTCAGCATCTTACAGGGTCTCAGGATTCATCACAAAATAGAAGTATGTGGTGTGTCATGGATGTACTTGAGGACTGGGATGAAGTTGCACTGACCCAGAGTGACCTTATAAGGTTGAATGGATGGTAACCCACATGGTTTGATTTGAGAGGCGCTGTGAAGGCTTTTTTTCCCCAGAAATCTCTCTCCTGTGGATTGTTTCAGTACATGAAATTCCAACATTTAGACTCTGGATTAAGGATTATCTGTATTCAAGAGTCCACTTTAAAAGGTAAATAAATACTCCTAAGAGGACTAATTTATTTACCAAACTGAATGGGATCACTGGATGATGAAAGATGATGTTCACTGGACACAAATAGGTTACAGAGCAGCTAACTTTTGAAAAGGTGGCAAGGGTAGAGGTAGGTCCTGAGCAATGAGTCCTGCTTGAGGGACGCAGACCTGAGTGGGTCAATGAGCTAGAAGGAGTATGAGAATGCTGGGTGTTTGGAAAATAAGGTGCCACAAGGCCAGGACGGGCATGGAAGGGAGAGAAAGTTACCACTTCAGATTAACCTTGCCCAGCTTGGGGTTTCTGCATGGGCAACATGTATTCTATATTTTAAAATCCAGACCTTTTCCACCCATTTCTATCAAATTCATTCCGTTAACTTCAGCTCAGCTTCTAGGCTATCAAGAGCATTTCGAATCATTATTCTGTCACACAGCATAATAGCCATTCCCCTCAGGAGCAATCCATCCATAAATCATTAAGTGCACCTTCTGTGTTTTTATTTAAGTCACTGGTTCTTAATCTTGGATTCAGGAAGTTTGTAATTCATCTAAAACTGTATGTGACATTTTGTGTGTATAAGCATTTTCCAGCAGATTCTCAAGGTGATCTATAGCCTCAAAAATGGTTAAAAATCACTGATCCAACTGTTTATCAGTATTTTATCAGTATTTTAAACAGAACAGAGTAAATAAGGACAGAGCTGTACAAGGGTACTTCAAAAAATTCATGGAAAGATCAATATTATCTTTTAATCCTATTTTTCCATAAACTTTTTGAAGTACCCTCATGTAAGACTAACACTAGTGCCTTCCTTTCTTGTCAACACAAATCCATCAGAAATATGGGCGTGTAATTGTTGCCTATTACATGTCAGTCCCTTTTCTTGTGATTTGCCTCTATCATAACAGGGGAAGGGAAAAATGAATTTCAGCTACTTGGGCATTCTGGTAATTGAGATTTTTACACTATGGTGTTTAGTTTTTAATCTTTAAATAAAATATTATTTAAAAATGTTTAAATTAGGTCATTCTTAAGACCTTCATCATTTTGCTTCCTATACCCACTATACACCAAATATCTTAGTATCATATTTAGTCTGTGAATGGAATTATGGATGCTTTAAAAATCCCTGAGATTAGCTGAAAATTGACATGTCAAATACATAAGTAAAAGCTTGCTATCTTTTCTCTCCCTGGCTCTGGACAAGTATAATGTTAATTTCCATTCCAACCCACCTTAAAACCTACGAAGACTCTACCTAGAAAGGGATTTGCAGTTCAAGAAAATCCTTCTCATGTGCTGTTAGAGATTCATTACTTCATTTAAAAATGACTCACCTTAAAAGGAAGTATGTAGGTCAAAATAAGGCAAAGCTAATCTCTAGTGATGGAAAACAGATCAGTGGTTGTCTAGGTCTAGGGCGACAGTGGGATTGCACAAAGGCGTGTGAGGGAACATTTGGGGCCAGTGGAAATGTTCTCTATCTAGATGGGTGTGGTGGGTTTCATGGCTGTGTACATCTGTCAAAACTCATCAAACTGTACACTTGAAATGGTTGCAGTGTATTATACATACATTATATGTCAATAAAGTTGTTTATAAAAGGATTTACCTTAGGAGTCATTAAAATGAAACTTTATTGAGTATTATTTATTGAGCTTCCAAACAAGATTTAAAATATGATTACACAAGTGAAAAAATCAGTCTACTTGTAAATTTTTCCCAGGTGGAATGTGGTCAAAATAGGATCATAAAAAAATATTTTTAACTGGTGAAGAGGAGGTGATATCAATGCGTTTTGGTGAATATTTAGCGTTTATACAAGAGTTATCTCTTAATTTGGAATGTACCAAGAGTAAAACAGAATATTTAAATAATTACTTGAGATTATTTAAAATAGATTTTGTGTTCATTTAGAATGCTTTTCTAGTCCACCCTTTCAAAATAGATAGCATCAGACACAGTGATAACATGATAGCTCATTCAAAGGCAAATTGTACTTCACCTATGATATATCAACATTTTGTATTTGCTGGAAAAAAATTGTATTTGAAACTGTTTCTACATGATTTGGCATTTGAAAATTGGGTTATTTTTTAAATTAGCTATACTCAGATATTGGATAACAGGGTGATTCTGTGGGAAATCTAACATGATGAATGAAGTATTAATTATCAAACCTGGTTTTAAATGCTACGTACCAATTAATATGTACCCTTTACATATTCTCCTTTGCTGTTTCTGGAGAATTTTTTCTCCAATCTATGAGATAATGCTGGTGAATTCTTTTCTTAGTGGTCAATATAAAAATGAATAGGAAAACCCCGACAACTAAACCTAGAAATAACATTGAAGCCAATTAGTGCCACCTTGTCATGTGTGCATGTGGAATGTAACAAAGAGTAACTAAAAATAGAGAAATTAGAGAAATAAAGTTTTCTGAAATACAACACAGGAGCTGTTGCAAAACTTTCGACTGAGAAATCACTTGCTTTGTCATTTGTTTTGCTTACATGTTAGTAAAATTGTAAGTACGCTCTACTGGTAATACAGGAACCCTTGCATTTATTTAGTAGTTATCTTGGACTGTTTATTTTGGATTTATGGTAGGAATGAGCGCCTTGTTAGAAGAGGGTTGGTCAGAATGGAGGGAAGAGGTAAGGGCTGGTTAGGTCAACTGAATTACAAATGCCAGTAATGGGTTCCTTAGTGATGAATGTAGTACTTAGCCACCAGCCTATTGCTAGCCACTCCCTTTTTCCTCATGACATAGGGGCCCAACTACAATCTCATGGCTCGGCTCTGGCTCCAGTTCTGGCTCTGGCTCCAGTTCCGGTTCTGGCTCCAGTTCCGGTTCTGGCTCCTGCTCCAGCTCCACCTCGATCTCAAGCTCAGGCACTGGAACAGGCTCCTGTCCTGGGGCAGGCTCCCGGGCAGGCTCTGGGGCAGACTCTTGTTTCAGGTTAGGCTCATGGTCTGGCTCCAGGATGGTGGCAGGGTCCGTCTCATGAATGTAAGGTGGCAGGGTTGCTTCTAGCTGGACAATGTCTTCAGTTGGCATTGCTTCACTCTCTGCACCTTGGTTTGCCTTTGTCATTGGTCTGCAAGAAAGTAGGTCAAGAAAAGAACAACTGACAGAAAATGCTAATTTTGAAGTTTCAGGTGGAGCCATATGGTCTGTGGCTTCAGTGACTATAGGTCCCAGACTGTCCAGGACATCTTTTATTTCTGATATTCTGATTCACTGTCAGACCATATGTCTTCATTTGGGGTTCAGAAAGGTTAGGTCTCAACAACGTAATGAAAATTCAAGAAAGACCAGTATTTAAAAGGATGAAAGAGTCTAAGAATCTAATAAGGTCTCTGAGGGCCAAATCCACAGTTGTGATGCATCTCTATCTCCCACTCCATCTAGCACAATACTTGGCACCTGGTCAGCATCCAATACCTAGTCATGGAAGCAGGGAGATGGAGGGACGAACCAACGAATGAATGTGATATACACTAGAGCATAGCACAGTGGGTGAGAGCATGGGCTGTAGGCAGGACCACATTCTGACTTCTATGGGCGCTAGGCACTTTTGCCTTTGTGGGCCTCTCGTTCCATAAAACATATTTCAAATTATATTTTATGACTGTGTTGGTATAAAGACAAATATGTTAGTATTATATATGAAAACATTTTCTTGGACCTAAAAGAGTGGTTGTGATGGTTAAATAAGATGAAACACAGAAAGTGTTTAGAACAGAGTCTGGTGGCCCTCATCATTCTTTTTGTAAAAGCACTTAGAGTGAGCAGAAAGATACTTCTGATATCTTATGTGCAAAGAAGTGCTTAGGAAAAGCTGACTGAAAGAGATATGCCTGAGAAATGTGTGTATTCAAAGTAAAGATAACAAAATAAGGGCTTACTCCAATTCCGTGGTGGTTTTAGAATTTCTCTTCCTTTCCTTTGTCTTTGCCTTGTTCCTTGTAAAGCACACAACAGAGATGATGATGGCAGCACCTACCAAGACAACTACCAAGGCCCCAACGATGATTCCAATTTCCAGATCTGGAGGACACAAGCAGCTGGTTAGTAAAGTGGAACATACTGTCGTCTCATACATGTGTATTTGTGACTTGGGGGGAATATTTGGGGCATTCACACAGTGAGAAAGTGACGTGTATAGGCTGGGGGACTGGAAACGCCTACAAATCTGTCTGCTGGACTCATAGTGAGCAAAAAAAGATGACTGGCTTGACTATGTAACTTAATTATTGACATTTACACACATAAAGAAAAAATACTCCTACTTGGGGGAGGCGGGCTTGTTTTGAAATGGGATTTAGAGAGGAGAGTGTTCAGTGTGCATTTGCTTGACCAGTGAAAAAGACACCATGGAGTTGCAATCTGGTCACCAGAGATATGCCTCTGTTATCAGCTGGGACATTTCACCAGGCTTTCCCAGAGCATAGGTGAAATAGGTCCCTAGAAACCATGTTCTCCCCAGCAGAGCCCATGCTCACCAAGGAGCCTCATGCATTCTGACCACCGGGAAGGGATATGCCCATTTCGATAAACAGTCATCTGGTTTGTTACATCAGTCTATGGGAAAACTTAATGAACGCAAGATGATCCAGCTGAGGACCAGACCCTCAAGCCCTGAGTTATTGTCCCCGAGAGACCATGTCTGGGTTATAAGCTGGCCCATCTCCATCCGCCTCCCCTCAAACAAGGATGAGAGGCTCGTCAAGTTGCCTGCTCATTCTTTTAACTTTTTACCACTGAAGGAATACATATGAGTAACTGTAAAAGTCAAATCGTTCTACTAAACTTGTAACAAAAACAGCAGTCCCCTGCCCCACTCCTCCCCGTCTCTGAGTCCCATTCACTGGAGGTGACCACTCTTAACTTTCTTTTTTAATCTCTTGCCTCTGTGTTTCTATAGGCTTGTTCTGATACATCCTGCCTTTTTAAATTTTCATCATTTCTTCTACACTTCCTACTCTGGAAGTCGGAGATTTAACTCTTTTACACCACTCCTCACACCCAATCACATACTTCTAATATAGTTATATCATAAGTTGTAGATAAACCAAAGGTCGCAGTATTATGACTATGTAAATATCATTCACATCTGAGGAACATAGTATACTATGATTCTTTCTTGTACAACATTTTAAAACAATTTTCCCTGAGGTTAATAATTGCCTCAATGGGGAATTTGTTTAATTTTTTCTTTTTTTTTTTTAATGCATTTTCACTAATCCCAAAATTTCCAGCAAAACCATTAAACTCCTTTCAATAGGTTCAAACACGTCAGATAATCTGTAAGTTTCTTACGTTTTTCTTTTTGGAGACATCCCTTCCTCTTCCCCCGGTATGGACTGGCTGCCCTCCTAAGCCTGCTTCTCTACTTCCATCTTTCGACGTCCCCATTTTATAGATAAAGAAACTGGCTTTGCAAGCTTCTTTGAGATCCAGCTGAAATAGCACTTTGTCAGGAAAGCTGCCCCTGTTTCTATAAATATAATTGTTCCTTCTTTGGTGCCCTATAGTCCCAATGCAGATCTCTATTATCGCATTTAGCACATTTTAGGTTTGTTTGTCCCTCTAGCTGAACTGTGAGTTCCTTCAGTGTAGGACATATATCTTCCTAATCTCTGCATCTTCATCACCTAAGTTTGAGGAAGGGAGGGAGGCAAATGCTGGACATCATTGGAAAAAAGATTAGAAAGGAAGCAAGTTTTCAGAACAAATCCTAGGTGTCTACATCTGCAGTATGATCGTACCTCTAGGAAGTCAAAAGAGATTGAGGAAGATCTAACGAAAGGTAACAGAAATGATCAAGAGAACAGAGCTGAGAGCAATATGAAAATGAAGGAGCAACCTTCTGGACAAATTAAAGGAAGAATGCTCAGCTTCATAGAAGAGCAAGAATTCAATGGAACTTGCCACTCCTGGATATAAAACCACAAATTCAAAAGAAGTTAGAAAAAAATGAATAGATGACAAGATCCTAAATGTTATCAAGTGACCCTTGAGAGGTTTGAGGAAAAATCCCTTGTGAGGGCTTGCCCCTGGATTGACCCAGTTTGACACTTCCAGGGCCCTTAAGTGTTATGCTTAGAGGTTTAGAGGTTTAGAGGCATCCCGGCTCTGCCAGTTACTAACTGCATGACCTTAGGCAAATCATTTACTTCCCTGAGCTTTAGTGTCCTTTTCAGTAAAATGAGGCTAACAATATATTCTACCTCCTAAATATGGTGGTTGGGAGGATTGAGTGAGATAATGCTCCTACAGCACCTGGCAGAGTGTCTGGCACATGATTTGTGCTCCACAAATATTAGCTACTACGATTGTGGGTGTCAGTGTTCTTATTACTATTATTATTAGAGGCAGGTCTTAACAATGCGATTAAGAACTGAAAAGTTTGCAAGCTGTATGTTTGACATACATAGCTACAGTGTTACCTGGATTTACCAACAGCATCACAAAGAAAAATTCAGACTGATATTATCAATGAGACTGTTGCTTTATTTATTGAATAGTAATACCTACTTTCTAGAGACTTTGTGAAACTTAAACAAATTTCTTTTTGGAGAAGACTGAGGGCAGTGTGTGGCACATATTAAGTATTATGTAAGCATTCAATATTAGGATGGGCTTTTATCATATCAACCTATAAATAAAGCACGCAAATCTCCAGAGAGGCAATAAGGACTAGCCAATGATCCTAATCAATTTACTTGGCTGACAGGCCCAGGCTACTTGATTTAAGAAGAAACTGTTAAAGCTGTATGGTCAACTCACGTGAAGAGGTTAGATCAATCTCACAGGAACTATTGCCAAGGTTGTTGGTAGCAGTGCACTGATAATAACCCTGTTTTAAAATCGTCAGATTTCTGATAACCAAAATCCCAGTGGCTGGGTCTGTCAAAACCAGAAAATAGACTTTTGAGATCTCTTATGTACGTACAGATCATATCAGTGTAACAGATCATTCGATACCCATGCACTTCCCCACATTGGCCTCCCTTTCTTGAGATGTCTAGGGTCCACCTAGGCCCCTCAGGACTGTTTCAAAGGTAGCCCATCTAGGACAGTTCCTATTCCTAGAAGGTGGGGAGTAGACCAGACCACAATCATTATGTTGGGAGACAGATATTCCTTTTACATGTGCCACACCCACCCCCAAGAAAAAGAGAAGATTAAACTCTAAGGACAAGCATCCAGCCACACACTCACTCTGTCAGCCAACCACAAACAAGGCCTTTCCAGGGGCTGTTGAAGGTTATACTTACTGAAGGTTTCTTTCACTGGCACAATGTCTTTTCCCTCAAGTTTATGCCAGTAGTACACAGGGGATGGTGTTCCAAGAGCAGAGAAGCAAGAGAGAGAGACAGTATGGCCAGTTTCTGGTCTTCCTTGAATGCTGCAAAAGGGCTTAGAAGGTTTGACTGGAAGGCAATGACAAAGAGTAAAAATCCTGCTGGATGAATGGCAGTCTGTGACAATTACAATCACTTCCTTATTTTCATTTTACAGAATATGTGTTTATTAAAAAAAAAAAAAAAAAATCTCTGAAAACTTATTTTGACAGTTATTTGGTTACACCACCAGGTGGAAGTAGAGCACTTCAGGTGCAGGAACCCTCTAGCCAGGAGGCCATTAAGATTCAAATAGTGTCTCCTCTGTCTGCCTCCTCCCTGGATTTATAACCATGAATTTCCTCATTGTGCCTTAAAATATGCCTTTATTAAAGCAGCCAAATGTAAGTAAACACTAAATGACTAGGAACATAGTTCATACTTTAAAATCACAATTTTAAAGGAAAATAAAACCCTTAAATACTTTGAGATAAACTTATTTATTCTTTTTAAAAATTGTTTTACAAATGCTGTATTTTTCTTTCCCTTTATGAGTCATTTTTTGCACTTATTTGTTTGTGGGTGACACAAAACAGTTGCAAGGTTTGATTTGCCTGTGTCCCTCGTCAGTAGGGGAAGCCCGTTTTGTGTGTGTGTGCTACACAGCACTGAAATCTTTATTCATCCTTCACTCAACAAGCATTTAGTTATGTGGGTCTGGCACTGGTCTAGGCACCAGGAATTTAAAAGTAACTTTGATACAATTCTGAAGTGGGGGGGGACGAGTGATGAGAGATGAGGCTAGAGAGTGGCAGAGGCCATATCTTGGAGGACTTTCTATTCCATGTATTTTAGACTGAGAGCAGGGGGACATGGAAGGAGCTTAAGTAGGGGTGTGATAATGGTCATTTTAACATTTTAGATGGATCACTTTGTCACTGGGGGTGCCTGAACCAAGGGACAGAAGAAGACAGATTCAAGAGGTATTAAGAAAGTAGAATCAGGAGGACTTGGTGACCATCTGGATATGGAGGATGAGGAAGAGAGTGGGGTCAATGATGAGTCCCAGGCATCTGATTTGGACATCTGGGTACATGATCTTGCCATCCACTGAGATAAAGAACACAGGAGGAGGAGTAGATTCTAGGAGAGGGGGTGACAGGGAGGAAGGGGTGATGATGAGGTCACTTTGGGATATACTGAGTTTCAGCTGCTTGTGAAAACACCTCAGTGGATTTGTCCTGTGGGAAGCTGGGAAGCTGAATCTCCTCATTCATCTTACTTTGCAAAGCTTATTCTGTCAATCTTTTTTTTTTTTTTCATTTTTTTGTTCAACATGAGAATTTCCTGAAATCTATCCTTAATCCTATACACAGATAGTGATCTGAATTTCTCTACTTCCTTATCTTAATTTGGATATAGAATCCTCTAAAGGCTTAGGTTCTCTAAGTTAGGTGAGTTAGACCTTAAATGCTTCAGACTGCTCAGCTGTTCAGCTCTTATCTGGGATGCAGTAAAGAGCACACTCTGGATCCACACAGAACACTGGCTCTGCAATTTTACCCTATATGTGTTTAGGCAGGTTACCTAAGTTAACCAGACCTCAGTTGGCTCATCTGTAAAACATGAATAAGAGATTATCGAACCTCTGGCTGATCTGAATATTAAATAAAATGATGTGTACAGAGCCTTGCACATGTGACTGCTGTTGGCCACAGGCAGGACTGATTTCTGCTACTAAAATTAATGCTGCATTGACTTCGGCTCTGCCCAGCCATCTCAGACTCATGTGTAGCCTCTGTACACATGAGCAAGAAGACAGCTGCATGTAGCTGTAACTCTTTCAAATACTTCACTATCCCTCTCTTTTAAACAGATGTCTTTTAATTAGAAGAAGTATTTTTCTACTTAGCTCTTTATTCTCTTTTTCTTACCAATGACTTTCTCAGATGGGAATAACTTGTTTGATTTGCCTATCCTAAACTAGGTTATTTAGCCAGAAGTCCATTGCAACTATCACTAGATTTAGATACAGCCTTTTTTAAAAGATGACAATTTATAGCCTTTATAGCAGAATAGAACAATTTAAACAAAATTAAATGGAGGTGTTTCACCTCAAAGTCAGACACCAGGACTTAAACTAAATTATGGGCAAAAACCTGCTTGCACTCATTTTTTGAGCCCGGAATTAAACCCATATAGGCTTTTTTTTTTTCGAACACATTTTTCTCGTTTAATATTTTTATTAACAAAACACTTAGTGAATCACTTTGAACCCAATCCCAAACCTATATATCTTCTAAAACTACTGAATCAGGATTGAATTGACATTTCATCTGTTAAAGTCCCCAGTAGAACTTGGGTGTTTTATTGGCAAAGCTATTGATCTACCATTTAGCTTTATTGCTTTCAACAGAATTGGGATGGGAGGAAAAGGCTCACCTCAGAAAATAAATGAAAATGCTTCAGGGTGTTCTCAAACCTTCTCTAAATTAATCATTTTCTTTCTATGTGCCAGATTGCAGAAGGTAGATGATGCTCCTTCCAAGTGCACACGAAATAATTATTCAAACACTATCTGGGTATTTTTCAGAGATTAATTTTCCAAGGTTGTCATACCTAATGGAAATCTCTCAAATAAATGGCTGTCCAAACCACCTGGTCTTTTACTCATTGCTATTTCCTTCACCTAAATTGTGCCCTGCCACCTCAGCCCCTCTTCTGCCTGACACACTCTTGCACATACTTCAACATTCAGTACAAAAGTCACTTTCTCCGATAAGCCTTCTCCAATTCCCCTTGCACAGCTTTAAGCCCTTTCCCTGTGCCCTCACAGCTCTCCTCTCATATCTCCACTGAAAGCTTTTATGCTACATATCTGTCTCCTTCACTAGACTGAACTTTTGGTGGGCAGGGACCCTATATCTTAAATCTTCCCATCTGCATTGCTTAGCACAGTAACTGGCACATGTGTTCAGGGTTTGTTGAATGAATTCATGCATGAACAAGTGAATGCATGGGATTGATGTTCATCTCTGGGTAATGAAATGTCTCTGAAAGATGCATTCCTATGAAGAGCCATGTTTAAGGAAGTATCAACATCTCTCCCCACAATTGCCCTCTCTTACCCACCTGTCTCCACCTTACCCCACCCCCCAGTTAGGGCAAGCAGAATAGGTGCTTGTATGCAATGGGATTTGAGAACTCCAAACAGACTCTGCAATGTTTAGAGAAAAACTAGCCATCCCAAAATTTCCAGAATTTGTATGATTTCCTAAATTTGTAGGATGCCTTTGTTCTTTGCCCAATTAATAAAAATCAAATTTTTGAGAGTTCCCAAATAAAGAAATCCACAGATTATTCTGCCTCTTTCCTTACCTGGGTCCTGGCTGCTTAAGGAAAAGTCATGACATAGTCATGGCAGGAACTACCTGACCCAATGACTCAAGAGAAAGAACAACTCAGAGAGAAAGTGACGCTCAACTTCTTATGGAGATTGATTTGGAATCCTTTGAACTTTACCTTCTTGTCTAGCTTTATCTCAGGGTTATTTTAAAGCCCTAGTGAGATAAGATGTGCTCTGTTTCCCGGGGTTCGGGATTCAGTACACACCTCTGGGTTTCAGGCCACTCCCCTGAGCCTCAAACCACTCTCCTAGGACTCAAGTTCCATCCCTGAGTCCTAAGCTATGGGTGGCCTGTAGCACCTATTTTTGGCACCAGCAGGTGGAGATTGAGACTGCATCTTCAGTAAAAAGGAGTTTACCCCTTAAATAACTTTCCACTGGAGGCACTAGAGAGCACCTAGAAAATTCTAAGTGTATTTGGCACGTGTGATGGAATTTGACCAATGATTATGCTCTAAAAGAGACCAACTGAGCATGTGCAAGATTATGTTACATAGCAGGCAATTACCCCCTTAATTGAATATTCATTAGATAGTATGAATATGTATTAGATAGCAAAACTATAAAAGCTGAACCCGGGCAGAAGGTGGGGTTGTTGCTCACTTTCCTGGGGCCAACCCATACTTCACTGGCTGAGGTGTGTGTGCTTTACTTTTATGTTAAGCTTACTTTTAGCAGGTGGCTACTCACTCTCTTGAATCAGCCTGTGCTCTGTCCTAAACTTTAAGTCTGTATTTCTTACTTTTGTGTTAAACATGGTGTGGGCCCTGCTCAGTCTCTTGAGCTATGCTGCACTCTCCCTGTGAAATCTGTATCTCTTATTCATTATATTAAACCGGTTCTCACTTTCTACTGTGACTCTGCTCTTGAATTCTTTCCTGTGGAGGAGTCAAGAAACTGGTAAAAGGAGGGGGTGGGTTGAGGCTGGCTATCAGGCCTTCCCAGACCCTCTCCTCCAGTATCACTAGGATGAAGAGGCTTGGCCTCTTTGAGTTGTTTCTGGTCAGAACACCCCAGAGCCAGGGAGCAACAGAAAATAGAGGATTAATCCCTCAACATTTTTGAACAATTAAAAACCCTTAATCTCTAGCATCTCATTTGAGCCTCATAACAAAGAAGGCAGGGCAGGAATTATATAACCTCATCTCACAATGGCCAGAGAAAGGGGGACTGACTTATATGAAGTCACTGAGTACAGAGTAAGATCTATAACCTATGTTTTCTTACTACCAGCTTGTTGCTTCAGCATTTATACCACACCATTTAGTTTCTGTGTATGAGGGTACTCCCAAAAGCTTGTGGAAAGATTTATATTGTCTGTCAATTTTATTTTTCCAACAACTTTTTGAAGTACTCTCGTACATGGCTAGTCTTCCAAACTGGAACATAAACTCTCCCAGGAAAGTGCTTGAATAATACTTCTTTTGTCTGCCTCTGTACCCCAATGCCTAGCACAGGGCTCAGCAAAATAAAATCCCAATTGATTGAACTAACCCATTCTTGAAAATTAGCTCTAAAGTACCTTTCCCTCTTTCCCAGGTTGCTAGATGCTGTGGCACACCTCACAGTAAATATCACCTGGTACCTTTTCGGCATATCCAGGGCAGCAAGCCAAGACAACTTTGGACAGTTCTCCTGGGCATGCACCTTGTTATCTACCGATTGTTGCTTTTCCAAGCTACTCAGTTATTAAGTCACTGATGTGATCTAGTTCCTCCCTTCCAGGGATGTGTGTACACAGCTTGAGAGGAGCAATGACTAGATCAGCTCCATTTGGGGTTACTTAAAAGTGGGAAAACGCTTAGCTCAACTGGTTAGTCAGCAAGGGGTGGCAGTCCTTTCACCCCTCCCTTTAGCACTTCCCACCCCAGGGCCTGCAGACAGGTGCTTAGCCCCCTTTGTCCTCTCAGACACAGCTTGGAAGGAGCCCTAGAAATTGCCAAAATTGGGATTTTCCCAAGGGCAGAAACCAAGCCTCATCACTATAAACCTCATCGCTCCTGGCACAAAGTAGGCACTCAATAAATACTGAACAAAAGATCCACTCCACCTTCATTTTAAGAGCAGATATGACTTGCCAAATGTTATATAATGAATATTTGTATATAAATAACTTAAATCTCAGCACTGGCTTAACATGTGGTACTCTTTTCAAGTAGCATTAGCAGTTTTTAAAGGGACCCTTCTGCCCATATTCAAAAAAATGACTTAATGTGGGAATTGTGGCAGGCTTTGAAGAAGTAAAAAGTTGACAGTTGTTTCCCCCAATTAGTTCTGGCTCTAATTGAAGGTTCTCTCTGAAAGAGTTGTTAGTGACCATTTAGTGGGAGGGTGGGTTATCCCCTCTGTTCTCATTCCATCCTTCAAAGATAAGGATCCCTAGAGGTTGGGTCATCTACTGCTGTCATTTTGGCAGTACTTTTGCTTTGGCAATTATTTCTACATGTTTTATGAGTGATTTCTCAGTCTTACTGTGTGAGTTGGCTTGCGTGGGGGTATGTCTCTATTTCCCTGATAGTGAAAGGAGCAGGGATATTTACACCCAGAGACTTAGTTGGCATAACTCATTCCGTGGATCACTCAGTGTCCTAAGTAGCTTGAGGAAAAGAAAAGACAGAAAAGAGTTCCCATACCTAACACACTGACGTTGAGGATGCCTTGGTTTGTGCCGACAAAGTCAGGGGGGTTGTTAACATCGCAGATGTAAATTCCACTGTCTGTTGGCTGCACATGCGAGATAGTGATAGACGCATTACCTGGAGCATTGGATGCTACAATTCGATCTTTAAATTGCCCAAGGGCTGTACCTTGTCCACCTTCAGAATAGTAAATCTAGGACAGAAAAATAACAGAAATGAGAATGGGGAGTGTCCAGGAATAGGATAAGCTACATGAAAGCTCTTTCTATCTCATGTTACCTTTAATAAGAAGGAGCATCTTACCCCCACAGGGAACAGGTCCCTGTGGTCAAGGTTTCTCAACTCAGTGGGGCACTTAATTTTCTCACAGTTGCTCACAGTCCTTACCTCATTTGCACCTCAAAGAAGCTCTGTGATGTCATTAGGGCAGAGGTTGGTATGCCTATCTTACAGAGGAGGAGACAGCTGGAGTTGACAGGACTGAACTGCTATGCTTGGGCTAAGAGATCGAGATGCTTGTGGATGAGTCTACCTGTAGGAAACTCATTATATAGGATGTAAATGTCTGATGGGAAACCAAAACCATCCTTTCATTTTTTACCACTTTATAAACTTTCTTTGATTTGAGTTTTCTTTACCCAGTGAAACTACCCGGTTTTCCTAAAAGTTCTAATGTTCATGCTCCTTTCTTACACGCATACTCCTTTGGATAAGCAAATGGTTTGTTCTGCCTATCAGAAGAGTGAGATTTCAGAGCAGAAAGGCCCTCGAGAAATCATCTGGTCCCATCCCCTCATAGTGGTGGTGTGAAGATGAAACAAGGTAATTTTATATATCATTGAGACAAAGAAGGGAATTTAGACCCAGAAAGATTAAATGACTTATGTAAAGCTACAAGGATCCATTTCTTATTATAATTTACTAGACTTAAAGATCTGTATTCTAGTCCCATCTCCATTAAAAAAAACATGAATACTTAGATCATGATGCCAGCTGTGGGAGCATCATGATGTGGTAGAAAGAGGCCTGGTCTAAGAGTCAGGTGGCCTGGATTTTAGCCATAGCTCTGCCTCTGACTGTGACATAGGGGAGGTGGCCTCTAGTCATGCCTCCATGGCAACCTGCTTTGTGATAAGAAACAAAGTTATTTAATCTCTCCAACCTTTTATTTCCACATTTGAACGAGGAACCAAAGCAATGTTTTCCAAAGTATGATATGCATTCCCCAAGTATTAGTACTTACATTGATTTTACATGGTACATAAATGAAAACTTACACATTTTAATGTGTATTAGAAAGAAACATATCTTTCTAATACACACTTCAGATCTGTGTCTTCATGGATATTGTTGCTTAGGGTGAGGCTAAGGTAGATATTTTTAATATTTTAAAAAAAACAAATCAATACAGAAAACAACATTAAGTAACTACTAGTGATGGTGATACACAAATACGACAAAAATCATGAAGACCGTACATGAATGACAGAAGCTTAGGAATCAGTGGACTAGGTAATCCCTGAGGTCCCTTCATAATACAGACCTTCTATGTACACACTTTGTTAGCTTCATGTATGTAATTCAAGTGATTGTTGCTTATCGTTCAATAAACTGTTATTTCCCTAGTCCAGTGAGACTAATTAATATTTTCATAAAACCTACTAAATTTTATGGGCCTTACAGTTCATTTAATTCACTCCCCTGACTTTACAGAAGAAACTGAAGCCCAAAGAGGTGAAAAAAAAAATGACACACAAAATTAACAATTGGGACAGGTCTACAGTCCATTTCTCTTAATTCCTTGTCCATTGCTCTTTACCTTAATAGGTGGTGAAAGAGGGAAAGCAATTAGAAAACCAAAAGATATTGTCTAGATGAATTCAAATGTATTCTCCTATAAGCAGAAAGTCAATATATTTTTAAACTAAGGTAGAAATGTAGATTTACAGGGAAAATTTTATAAAACGAGAAAACAACTTATCTCTCTTTGGTTTTCTAACATAAACATGCTTTCTTTCCTGCCCTAAATGTAGCCATTTATAATTCATTCATTCATCCCTATTGAAATCACAAGTTTTGCCCAGAGTGGTCTTGTTTGCCTTACAAACCAGAAAACCAGAATCAACTCAAGGAACTCAAGCAGGACAGGGGAGGTTCAACTCATCCAAAGTCTATTACCTTCATTTGAGTTGATACCCATGCACCCACGCTAACCAGCTCTCAATTTCACTAGCTAGCATCGGGCCTATTTACTTTCTAATCAACAATTTGAGGTCCTGTTGTCTCTTACTTGGAATCCATTCTGCTGTCCATTAAGAAAGCCCTTTGCAACCTAAACATCTGGCCAGTTCCCCAGCTCCCAAGAAGACAGGTCATCTCTGTTTTATACAGTCGTTTGATGACATCACGATGAGCTATAACATCGGTCCTGCCTGAGGTCCACAGTAAGTCCCAGAGGATCCAGGTGAAAAGGACCTTGTTTCTGCAGAGACCAGGGGACCAAGAGAGTGTGTTTTAGGCCAAGACCAGGACATAAAAAGAAGCCGTGTAAAAGTCTTATATTGGGCATGAATCAAGATGAAATGAGCAAATAAGCAAGGAGGCCCTTGACCTGTAACTTACCTATGAAAAGGAATTTCACTAACCTTTCTGCCCTAGCTCCTCACACTGCAGTCTAATAAATTTTACCCTCTCACAAATGACACTAAAGGGCATCAGGGATAGGAATGGGGGTAAGGAGGAACAACAATGGAGATTTAAAAGAGAAAGGCCTTAGCCTCAGGTCGCTGTATGAGAAAGAATGTCCCCAGGGCTAGACAGCAGCCAGACACATAGATGGAGGGGTTTTCTGTTAGGGGAAGTCCACGCTGTCACACTGTCTTTGTAAAGAGAAAAAGAAAGAAATGTTTTCCGAAACTTCTTATCTAATCACACAGGAAGGACTGCAACTTGATTCCATTTTCCACAAAAGAATGGTTCTTTTAAAAATCAAAGCTGAACAATGGTGAGGACCTGGCCCATGAGGATTGTACACTTTTCAAAGAAAGAATATTGTCAATTTAGAGATCAAAGCAATTGAGGTCTAGGAAAAGCCACGGATGGTCAACAGGTCACATCCTTGGGGGAGGAGAGGGGACTGTGAGTCCTGCTTTAAGAAAATCCATCCAAGTGTTCCCTTAAGCGTTGCTTGTTAATTTTTTACCCATTTGCCCTTCGTGCATGTGTTCATGACAGAGTGCCCTGCTTTCCCCCAGGGGCCTCTCTGCCTGCTCCTTGGTGATGCTAGAGGCTGATATGTGAACTCACAATAGCACATTACTTTTAAGACCCTCTGAGATGGCTTAGTTCATGGTTTCTAAGGCTAAGGAGCCTTTAGAAGCCAGATGGATATTAGAAGTATGGGAAATGGCTGGGAGGGGCTGGTGGATAGTGGTAAGATCATAAGGGATAGTGGGGACTGTGGTAAAATGAAGAGCCAGTGCAAACAAGGCATTGAGACTGTTGGAACAAACAAACAAAATACTGGATGTCCAACCAAAATACATCCACTGGCCAAATCTGACCCAGAGGCCTCCAGTTTGCACATTCTGACTCATCCTCTTCTATTACAGAGAAGGACAGTGAGCTCCCAATAGAGAAAGTGATTTTCCCAAGGTCACACAATCAATTTACAGTCAGACCTGGAATCCAGACCTCCTGATTCCCACTGAGTACATTAAGATGGCATTCATAGTACTGCCCGAGATGAGAAAGATGATTCCTGGGCAACCTTCCTTCTTTGGGGCTATTCCATCCCCTACTACAGCTCAATCTTTCTCCTGCCGATTGTTGCTATTCATTGGCATGGAGTGTGCCCTCAACATTTGCCAGCTGCAGTTGTATGCCCCTCAGTTCTTTGCAGAGCAGCCTTTTCCCTCATTCTGTGCCAAGTTCCTCTTCATATGTGCAGCTGGGAGCCAGATTTGTCCTAAAAGATTTTTTTCCTCAGTTCTGTGACACTGCTGTCTAACTAGAGGCTTGGCGTACCAAGAAGGGTTGAACAAATTCAGTCTGTTTTCTATTTGAGTCTAAGTTGGAGATATAAATGCCTTTAGCTTCCAGAGCTGCTTTTGCAGGTTCCTTCTAGGAATGTGGAGGGCATGGAAGTCCACAGCAAATGATCCGTTTTTTCTTTCCATCTTCTTGCTTTCCTGTACTGCTTATAAAGGGGCTAGCTATCTATAGGGGGACAGGTGTAAGGTGGCAATGGTCTCAAGCCCAGAATTCTTTCTGGACTGTGCTGGGGGCCTCGGATTGCATATGGAAGGAATAGAATGCCAAAAGAAAGACTCTCCTGTCCCCAAACCACTTTCTTTCCAACTTGCCATTTGCCTAACTGGCCATTTGAGTGGCTACTTTTGGGTGACAGCATAGAAAGTCCTTGCTTAAATGCATTTCTTTGGAAGAGAACAAAATAAGCTATCACCAATCCCTAACACCTTAGCATTCGATTAATGTGTCAGATTTAGCAAGAATAGACTCCTGAAGGAATGGGACATAGAATAGATAAACTTTGATGGGGGAGGCATTTAGAGTTTCTAGCCACCACCTGCTAAGTGCCAGTAGTGACTCACAGTCATGACAATCAAACCAACACCTTCTCTATTTTCAAGTGCCCCTGAGGAGATGGAACACCCCACCACCACCACCACCATCACCGACATTCAAGAATCATTTAACGTAATGCTACTTGTAGAGGACAGTCCGAGTTGGAAAATCTGTGAAGCCCGAAAACGTGAGGACACTAAGTCCTGGGAAAGAAGTTGTTCAAATTATGTCTGTGTTGGAGATATGAAGATGGCAAAGGGTTTCTTCCACTATGAATATTCTAGAAAAGTAAGTACTGTCTGAGAGACCCATGCTAAGCAGGGTCAATGCATGTTCTGCTCATGGACAAGTGAGGTCTCCGTAGTTTTACCTGGAACAGGCTGGGTGGATGAAAAGGCCATCTGTGGGACCAGAGAGGCATCAGACCCCCCAAAACTTCCATGTTACCCTGCCTGTACCTGGCCTAGAGTTTTCAGCTGAAATTCCCCACTGAGGGACTGACTGTCTGAAGCTGTCCGTATTTTTTGAGAGGAGGGCTTCTCTGAGAGGAGGACCATGCTAATGAATATCTTGGCCCTCCTGGTCATAAGACTTATGGGACACTTCCATAGTCTTTATTCATCAAAGGAACCCCTTGGAGGGGATAGTCAGGAAGAGATAACATCCGCCCCTGGGTATTGAGAAATCCCAGGCTTCAGAGTCAATTGCTAATCCAAAACAATGGTTTGGGGGAGAAGAAGAAGAGCGCATATGGCAAGAGCTGGCCACTGCCCTGGTCAGGGCAGCAATAGGGCCCTGAGCCTGTTGGAGGAGGCTAGAAAGAGTTCCAGACATGGACGTGAGAAGGTAAACTCAAAACTGTCCCAGTTTTGTCAGGATCTAGTGCGGACTTGGATGATTACCAAACACAGACACTCCCATACCAATCCTAAAGCTGGTGCCAGTGCCCCAGAGACTCCAAATAATGAAGGGGTCCAGTAGTACACCAATAAGTGTTCTTACCTGAGAGGTCCAGCTACATCTTCCCCGAGCGTCTCTTGCATGCGCCATTTTTAGACACTGACTGACTGCCTTTTCCTCCATACCCTCAGTACTGAGGCACGGGCTGTGCTGTGTTTGAGCAGAAATGGGTGGATCTGAGAGCCGAAGCTACATGTTACACTACATCAACCCAGGAGTTGAACTGAATCACTCAGTGGTCAGTCTGGCAACATCTTACTCCCATAAATGGCAGAATTGTCTAATAACACAGCAGTCTCTTTTTATCACCTCCAAAATGTCCCACCAGTAATCACTAAATTAACATACAACATGCACTACAGAATTTTGAACGCATAAAAGTGCTCAAAGAGGAAATAGACTTGAAATGGAGGACAAATCCCATTTTGAAAAATACCATCTTAACCCAGAATGTCTGCAACCTCTTGGTTGAGCAGGCTCTCTGTTCAGCGATAACGATCAGGCAGAGAAGGAGCCTGGGCCCTCCCTTTAGCCACAGGGACCCGGCAAGCAGTAGAACTGGAAACCAGTCTTGGGCCAGGATGTCCTTGAAGAGCTCTGTCCCAACTGTTCAGCTGTACTAAGTGTATCTTATTGGACTAGTTTCCTGAGTGCCCATGACCCAGTCCCTCTGGTACACCAGAGGTATAGATGGAGTAGGGATTCTTCAAAATCACCATTTGGTGAGTGTTGATGCTAACAATAATAGCTGACATTTACTGAATGCTTACAGTATGGAAGGCTTCCTAGTACTTCAGTAGCATCACCTCGTTTAATCTTCAAATGAAACCTATGAAGTAGGTAAGTACCCTCATTTTACAGACGGGAAAACTGAACTTCTGAAAGGTCAAGTAACTTGTCTAAGGTCATCCAGCCACTAAGTAAGTGGCAGAGCAAGGAGTAGAACTGACACCTATCAGAAGGTTTCCACTAGGGCTCCAAAACTACTCATTTGGCAAAGCAGAAAGAAGCACATGCCTGCAGAACATGGTGGGGGGGGCTCCAATTCTCTAGAAATATAGTCCTAAAGGTGTTTGTAATGGGGATCTGGCTAGGGTAAGCTGAAACAAGACAGGAAAACAGGAGAAGGAGAAAGTTTGTCTTTCAGGAGGTGGTTTTCACTGTCCCCAAGCCAAGAGCTGGCCCTACTTCACCTTGTCTTCCATGTAGCTAAAGCACAGGCATTGCACGGGTCTCATGCAGTTTTAAGATCAGGGAGCATGTTCTCCCTGATCCAGCAGCTCAATCCAGAGGACCTCCTTTGATATGGGCATCCTAAAAGAGTAGATATCTTAAAATACTTGCCCCACCTGTACCTGACATTCTGGAGAATGAGGCAAATGGCAAGTAAATAAGCTACTCAATAAATATTTATTTGTTAATAGATTTTCTTTTTGGAAGTGCTTCTAAGAGGTGTCCTGAGCTCAAGCCACACTCAGTTCAATCACTTATATCTTCTTCCCCTGCATCTCCAGGTCTAGAAAAAGCTCATTGCTGGTCACAAGATCCTTCAGCCTTGCAGCTCCCTCCCAGCTCCTCACTAGTTACACAGTTCAACCAAGAGGTGGCCTTTTAAATTCCAGTGTCAGAAGAGGCATAAAGAAGAACTTGTGTTTTTGAACTCAAACTGGCCTCACCTGGCCTCCAAGCAGTTGAGGACATCTTGGTTTGAGTATCAAGCATAAAACATTTCAAAATGTATTGGCTGAGCCTCTCTAAATTTAGCCCCTACCAGCAAAATGAGAAGAACTTCAAGCGTACAGATAAAGAACGTGTTGTTGAAAAGACTAATCAGGAAATTAAATTTTAAAAAGGAAGAAAGATCATGCAATTATTGTCATCCACAATCTGAGTGCAACCTGCAAAGGAAAGTGGTAATTTCTTATAATTTCTTAGTTAACTCCAACATGCAAGGTCTTGGGTCAGGACATTTTGGGTGATAGAAACTGGTAGAATCACTGTTGGTGGTGGTGCTACTGCTGCTGATAATCATAATAGTGTTTACAAGGGATAAAATTTACAGGGTTTTTAAAAATTTTTTTTCGAGTGTTTTCACATGCATTATGTCAGCTGATTCTCCATGAGTATTGCTGTCCTACCATATTTTAAAGAGAGGCACAGAGTGATTCAGATATTTGTCCAAGGTAACCAGTACTGAGCAAAATTGTTTAACTTTGACTAGAGGGTAGCAGTGATGAAATCTCCCCCTGAATGATGTTTCCTGCTAAACAAATGTTCAGGATCTCCAGTAAAGAGAGGACTCAGCACCTCCAAATGACCAGTGATGGCTGAAGCAAAACGGCCAAGGTGTGGCTTCTCCAAGCTAATGCCCTCTTTCTTCTCCACCTCTACCCCTAGGCCACCCCCAGCCCACTTAATTTGCCTTTCCTCTATCTTCCTACTAATCGAGACTATTCCTTTCCTCCAAAGCCCGACTCAACTGCATTCAACTATTTCAAACCACACTGATATGTCTCTTCTCTAAACTCCATTTTGGGTTGTGTACATCCTTTTGAGAACCTGATGAAAGCTATAGACCTTTTCCCTCAAGAGATGTGTCTAGGCACATATGGCATACAGGCCTCCCCCCCGCCCACACACACACACCTTCAATCCTTGGACTAATTTAAAGCGGAAATTACCCTCTAGACCAGATGAAGGAAACCTGGTAATAGGCAGATTGCAGTTGGAATCATTCTCCTCTCTTGACTTTCATCCACCTTTGTCAGGCAACCTCTTCCCCAGACTCTATGCCTACCTGCCCTATCCCCTATCTCTACCCTTATGCTGTCCTTGATTACCCAAGATTCATCACTGCTGTGGTTCTTCTCCACCCATCTGAGGAGTCTCATTCTGTCAGGACTCAGCCTGGCATGGTGAGCAAGCCCACTTGACAGGAAAATGCCAGATATTTAGTTTGGCAGTGGTCTGCAGATCAATTAGGACTTGACTTCTGCAAATAATAGGGAAATATTTGGGGGGAAAGCCCTTTCAGAATTACTGCTCGTTTCACCTGTGAGAAGAACCATTCTTGTTTACTCTAGAATACATGATACACTTGATTTTAACCTACACAGAATTGAGATACCAGGCTATAACTAAATATGAAGAGGACAAAGGCAAAGTCACTTAGATGATGGTCTTTCCTAAACAGCTATCTTCAGCCTCATTGTTTCTAAGGTGATACCCCTGTTGTCACTGGCATACCATTCTTTCATGCATCTACCCCAACAGTTTTCAGTCAGCACTACCAAAGGGGAAGAGTTTAGGGAAAGTGTCCTTACGGAAGTTAGCTGCAACTCCTTCTTATGGATGAAAGACCACTGGATGGAAAGCTTGTCCCGGGAGGCCACAGTGGTGGTATAGATGCAGACGAGAGTGACATCAGATCCAACAGTCACGGTCACAAGACTGTCTGGGACGGTCACTTGCACCACACTAACCTGACCTGAAAAGATAATCATCAAAAAGACAATGGTACACACTCACATTCTAATGACACTTTTTCATCACAAAATACTTTCAAAGACATCTTATTAAAGCGAGGAGGAGAAGGTCGAATGAACCATACAGGAAAGCTGAGCAAGCAATTGGGTGGGGAATGGAGTTTCTAACAAATTACAATGTGAAGATACTCAAATCCTAGGTGATGGTGAGGTAATGACACAGAACTGGGTATCTCTTCTGTGCAAGGATGGCCTTACACAGAGATTCTTAGAGTTGTCTGGAGACCCATAGTATTAGTCCGTTTTTGTTGCTTATAACAGAATACACGGCACTGGGTGATTTATAAAGAAAACAAAATTTATTGCTTACAGTTTCTGAGGCTGGGAAGTCTAAAGTCCATCTGGTGGTGGTGACAGTGACCCAGGGGTCTCACATTGCAAGATGGTGGAAGCAGAGAGAGCAGAACAAGAGAAAAGACAGACTCTCCTCTTCTTTAAAAGCCCTCAGAACCACACCCCTGTCCACCACTTTTAATCCATTCACTACTGCATGGTCCTACAATCTAATCACTTCTTTAAGGCTCCATCTTTCAAGTGCCATAATAGGATTTCCCACCCTCTTAACAGTCACAGTGAGGGCCAAGTTTTTAATACATAAAACTTGGGAGACAATTCGAGCTTCAATAATTTTGGGGGGACATAATTCAATCCACTACACCCATAAAGGTTTGTTTGTATGGAGAACAACCATCCCAGTTTTCCCAGGACCAAGAGAGTTCCTTGGATGAGGGACTTTTAGTTTTAAAACAAGATAAGTCTCAGGCAAACCATACAGGTTTCGCCAGGACTTTCAGTGCTAAAACCAGGAAAATCCCAGGCAAACCAAGATGAGTTTGTCACCTTATCCCTAAGAACATTTTGGGGAACTGCAAAATCAAAATTATATTTATAAAAATACTAAGATGTTATTTTTCTTTTTCACTCTCATCCTTTCATGAATGTACAATGGAGTTTTCCAAAAGCTACATGACAGGTAATGATGTCATTGCTCTGGCAGCTAATGGAATGTGTTTTTATGTATTTTCTGTATAATTTTTTTTTAAGTTTTAATTTCTAACACAGTAAGTATAGATAGAAATAACTCACATAGAAAAAACCTCCTTGGGGTCCTCAATAATCTTTAACTGAAATTTTTATTAAGATAATTGTAGATTTACATGCAGTTCTAAGAAATAAGACAGAGATCCCATGTACATTTTACCCAATTCCCCCAATGGTAACATTTTGTAAAACTATACAACAGTATCACAACCAGGTCACTGATATTGTTACACCCTCTGATCTTATTCATATTTCCTCAGTTTTCCTTGTACTTGTGTGTGTGTGTGCATTTAGTTCTATACAATTTTTATAACATGTAGGTTCACGGCTGCTCACTGGCTGAGCGAGGGGCGGGAGCAACACAGAGGGTTGCGATCCCGTGGCCGGTCCCGGTCCGGTACGGGCGCGACACTGAGGGTTGTGATCCGTTGCCGGTCACGAAAAAAGACAAAAAGGATAAAAAAAAAAACAAAAAACATGTAGGTTCATGTATCCATCACCACAGTTAAGATACTGAACAGTTTCATCACCACAAAGATCCCTCATGTTGTGCTTTTATAACCACACGCACCTATCTCCAGCACCCAGTCCCTCTTCCTAACCATTGGCAACCACTAATCTGTCTTCCAGTTTTAAAATTTTGTCATTTCATAAATGTTATAAAAATGGAATCATGGCAACATTTTTGGATTGGCTCTTTTCACTCAACAAAATTACCTAAAAATTCACCTAAGTTGTTGTGTGTATCAGTAGTTGGTTGCTTTTTACTGCTTGGTAGTATTTGATGGTATATATGTTCCACAGTTTGATTAACCATTCATCCATTTAAGGACATCTGGGTTGTTTCCAGTTTTTGGCTATTGAAGAAAACTGCAATGAACATTTGCAAACAGATTTTTGTGTGAACATAAATTTTCATTTATCTGGGGCAAACGCCCAACAGTGCAATTGCTGGGTCATATGGTAGTTGCATGTTTAGTTTTACAAAAAACAAAGACACTTTTTCAGAATGGCTGTACCATTTTACATTCCTACCAATAATGTATGAGTGATCCGGTTTCTCCCCATTCTCACCAGCATTTGCTATTGTCACTATTTTCTACTTTAGCCATTCTGATAGGTGTGTAGTAATATACCATTGTGGTTTTAACTTTCATTTCCCTAATGGCGAATGGTATCAAACATCTTTTTATATGATTATTTGTCATTTGTATGTCTTCAGCGAAGTGTCTATTTATATCTTTTGCCCATTTTCTAACTGGATTGTTTACTTTTTCTGCAGTTGAGTTTTGAGAGTTCTCTGTATAATCTAGATGCTAGTCTTTTGTTGGGTACACAGTTTTATTTCTTCTTTGTAATTTGTATGCCTGTGATTTCTTTTTATTGACTAATTGCAGTGGCTGTAACTTCCAGTACTATGTTAAGAGTTGACATCCTTGACTTATTCCCAATCTTAAGGGAAGAGTATTTAGTCTTTCACCATTAAGTACAATGTTAGCTGTAGGTTAACTGTACATGCTCTTTATCAAGTTGAGTTAATTCTCCTCTGTAGTGGGTTGAACTGGGTCCCCCAAAAGATAAGTCCTAGTCCTAACCATCAGTATTTGTGAATGTGATCTATTTGGAAATAGGGTCTTTGCAGGTGTAATTAAGTTAAGAATCTTGACATGAGGTCATCATGGATTTATTGGTCCTAAATTCAATGACTGTTGTCCTTATAAGAAAAGGGAGAGGAAGAATTGACACACAGACACACAGAGGTAAAGGATATGTGAAGATGGAAGCAGACATTGGAGTGATGTGTATACAAGCCAAGGAATGCCAGGAACTGCCAGCAGGCATCTAGGGGAGAGCCATGGCATGGATTCTCCTTCAGAGACTTCAGAAGGAACCAACCCTGCCAACAGTTTGATTTAGGACTTTTAGCCTCCAGAACTGTGAGAGAATAAATTTATCTTGTGTTAAGTCAGCCAGTTTGTGGAAATTTGTTACAGAATCTCTGGGAAACTAACATTACCCTCTATTTTTAAGTTGCTGAGAATTTTTATCATGAATAGGTATTGGATTTTGTCAAATGCTTTTTCTTCATCAATTAATATGATTATATTTTTTTTGGTTAGCTTGTTGATATGGTGGATTACACTGAATGATTTTCTAATGTTGAACCAGTCTTGCATACCTGAAATAAATCCCACTTAGTCATGGTATATAATATATTGTTATATATTGTTTGATTCAATTTGCTAGTGTCCTGTTGAAGATTTTTATCTAGGTTCATGAGAGATATTTGTCTGTAGTTTTCTGGTTTTGTACCGTTTTTGTCTAGTTTTGGTATCAGTAATAGTGGCCTCATAAAATGAGTTGAAAATGCTCCCTCCTCTTTTATTTTTTGGAAGAGAATGTATAAAATTTATGTTAATTATTCTTTAAATGTTTGGTAGAATTATCCACTGAAACTAGGCCTGGAGATTCCTTTTGTAGGACTTTTTAAATTATGAATTCAATTTCTTTAATGATTATTGGGCTATTCAGACTATCTGTTTCATATTGGGTAAGTTTTAGTAGTTTGTGTTTTTTCAGGAACTGGCCTGTTCTAAGTTGTCAAATATGTGAATGTGAAGTTATTATATTTTAATTACTGCAGGATCTGTAGTGATATTCCATGTTTCATTTCTGATATTGGTGATTTCTGTCTTATTTCTTTTCATTTTTATCAGTCTTGCTAGATATTTGTCAATTTTATTGTTTTTTCAAAGAACCAGGTTATTGTTTCATTGATATTTTTCTATAGTTTTCTTATTTCAATTCTGTTGGTTTCAGCTCTTTATTATTTCCTTCCTTCTGCTTGCTTCAGGTTTATTTTGGTCTTCTTTTTCTAGTTTCTTGATGTAGAAATTTAGGTTGTCAATTTAAGACCTTTCTTCATTTCTAATGTAAGCATTTAGTGTTAAAAATTTCTCTCAGCATTGTTTTAGCTGCATGTTACATATTTCAATATGTTGTATTTTTATTTATTTAACTTTATGTATTTTTAAAATTCCTTTTGAGAATTCCTCTTTGATCCATGAATTATTTAGAGATGTTAAATTATTTTAATATCTATGTGTTTAGAGACTTTTCTGTTATTGAATTCCAGTTTTATTCCATTGTGGTCAAAGAACATACTCTGTATGATTTCAATTATTTTAAATTTGTTTAGGTTTGTTTTATGGCCAAGCACATAATCTATCTTGGTGAATGTTCTACAGGTACTTGAAAAAAAACTGCATTCTGCTGTTGTTGGGTGAAGTGTTCTATACAAGAGATATAATTTAAAACACTGAATAAATCAAGATGGAATCATAAAAATATTTAATTAAATTCTGTTAGTTGATTGTCTTTCAGATCTTCCATATCCTTGCTAATGTTCTGTCTACTAGATTTATCAGTTTCTGAGAGGGGGTATTGAACTTCTCAACTATAACTGTTCGTTTGTCTCTTTCTCCCTTTAGCTCTATCAGTTTTTGTTCATGTATTTTGAGACACTGTTGTTTGATATACCCACATCAATGATTGTTTTGTCCTCCTGCTGGCTTGATCCTTCTATCATTAGATAATGTCTCTAGTAGTTTTCTTTGCTCTTAAGTCTACTTTATCAGTTATTAATATAGCTACTCCAGGTTTTAAAAAATTAATATTTACATGATTTATCTTTTTTTATCCTTTTACTTTCAATACACCTATTCCATTAAATTTAATGTGAGTTTCTAGTGAGCAGCATATAGTGGGATTTATATTCAATGTAATTATATTTAATGTGATTATTGATATATTAGCTCATAAGTCTGCCATTTTATTTGCTTTCTGTTTGTTTCCTTTGGTTCTTATTCCTCTGTTTCTCTTTTCTTGCCTTCCTGTCAGT